AGTTGCATTTAATTCTTCAGTTTTTCCTAGCCTGTGTGATGTGGGAGGCCAGGGAACCACAGCCCCTCCAGCCCTGAAGAAACCCTCTCCAAGGAGCTCCTCCTTACTCCCAAGGATATGCCTGTTCCCCTCCATTAAGGGGAAATGGGCGTTTCACAGTCAGGCTATTAATTTCTCTTGAAAAGTGTTTCTCATGACATTCATCCTCCTCCTAAGCACAGAAGGTATCTTCAACAAGCACAAAATTTCTGTGGGCTTCAGCTACCTGTTAAAGCCCTACAAAGATATTCCACATACTGAACAACTTAGTAATAGCTCTGCCTTAGTGCCCAAGTCATGTAAAACTACGCTAAAAGAAACACAAACTGATGATATATATACAATTAAGCTATTTGTGTATGTAAATAACAATAATAGTAATAATATTAGTAACCCCCTACATGAATTGCAGGCTTCTTCCTAGCCTGTTGGGGATGCCCCCTCCCTGGAAGTGTTTAAGGCCAGGTTGGATGAGGCTTTGAGCAACCTGATCTAGTGGAAGGTGTCCCTGCTGATGGCAGGGGGATTGGAACTAGATGATCTTTAAGATCCCTTCCAATCCAAACCATTCTATGATTCTAGCCCATAAATCCACTTTTTAAAGGCAACTCAGCATTCCCTAGATTTGCAGAGTATTAGTTAAGGGTCGAACAGTCCATCAACCCATTCTAAGAACGGTGATGCCTCGGTGATGTGGGTGTTCAGGGAGTGAACCCCAGGAGGAGCTGGAGCCCCCAGGAAAGCCCTGGCCCTGCAGGCACATACCACCAGCATCAATGATGGAGCTGCTGCAGGGCATGGCTGGAATTTAGCCGTCAGGGACTACAAACAGGTCTGACCTAAATGCATTTTTTTTTTTTAAAAAAAAAAGGTAATAACAAATGAAACAAAGAGTCTTAGACTGTATTGTGGTGGGCTCCAATAAAGTGATGCTTCAAATCTCTGAGTAATGACTGCTAGCATGAATATACCATTGTGCCGGAGGGGAGAAAAATGCTTTTGATGTGCTACCAAATGGAGACTTTTGTAAACAAGTGGAGCACAACTTAAATGTGTTCATCATTGTCAAAGCTTTTAGGGTTTTTCACGCGCATAAAGAACATCCCAGCACAGTTTGCAGGAAGCTGCTCATTTCAAATAAAAATATTATGAATAGACAGATAATAAAACATACAAAATGCATAAGTCTTTTTTTTTTTTTTTTTTAAAGAACGAAAGAAAAAAAAGAAAAATAATTCCATTTTATAACTACTTAATTCTCCGAGTGGCCAGGAAAGGCCGCAGATCAATAAAGTGTTTGTGAAAGACTGAAAGGAAACATAAACCCCAATTCTTCTGGCTGTTTGGCGTCTTTGTAAACTTTGAGCCAGGCAGGCCATCCACAAGACCATGGGAATGTAGAGCGAATTGGGTCCTTTGTTAGCGGGGGTGCCATGGCGTTACATGTATCACAGCCCAGGAATGCAGCCTCCGCTTTGACTGCCGATAGAGAAAATGCATTCGGCCTCCAGCAGAGCTTGCAAAGCTGGCGAGAGAAGATAAGGAAAGTAATAATTGCCCTTGGAGAATATATTCAACTGGAGCTCTTCAGGAGCTGGGATGGATTCTGGCAAGGAGTAATAAAATTAAATAAATTTTCATTAAAAAGAGAGAAGGAAATAAAAGAGAGGGTGTTTGGTGGGGAGGGATCTTTTTCATTCAGAGTTTTGATTTTGGGGACATCCTGCAAACTTTTAGGTCCCACCAGGAGCTGGCGGGTGTCCCCCCAGCAGTGGTAGCGAGCAGTGATCCTCACTGGCAGCCCTGATCATCCAACATGAGCAGGGTTGGCTGGGTCCAGGATAACACTAGCAGCCCTGCACGTCACAAGGGTTGCCCCAACACCAGAAACAAAGCTTTGGTGCAACTCATTTCCCAAAAAGATTTTTCCATTATTGAGAGAGAAAAGAGTTGATTATAAATATTATAAACATCAATTAATTTTCCCCAGCTCTGGTGCAAAATAATTGATATTTATAAGCTACAGTGAGGTGGCTCAGATCTGCTTCACCAAAAAAAAAAATCTGGCAGAGTGAAAAATGTGCCCTGACCATTTATTACAAACACACAGCATGACAAAGACTGTCACTCCTCCCTGTGATGGGGAGACAGAAGTGGATTTTAGGGGGGGAACCCAACCCACACCATATAGGCCATCCCTTAAAGACCCTTTTCCTCCTGCATACATTTGTCCTTGCTACTGGCATTGAGACAATCCTTGGCGACAAAGCACCTCGCTCTCATGAAGGAAAGCAATTCTTTCACATTGTGCCACCAATAATCAGAAACCCACATCTTCAGCCTCACTGTCTGACTTGAAGAACAAAAGGCAGTTTTCAGTCTTAACCCCAAGATCTGATTTAAAAGGGGAGGAAAGGAGGGGGGAAGACCTTGACCATTCATTAACAACAATCTTTTTTTAAGAGGGGAAAAAATTCTTTGCACACAAAGTAGTACTCCAGGTATGTATATGGAGCCTGAATTCTACATCTTTGAGTAGAGTAAACCTTTGTGGAAAGAAAGAAAAAAAATTCATGAAAAGGCACTGGAGATTAACACTGTTCATTCAGGAAAGCTCCAACCCGCCCCCCCTCCCTCCAATAGCTTGTATGAAACAAAGTATATCCCTGTCTAATTGGTGTACAATTGTGTTAGGAATAGAGGGAGAAATAATTTAAAGATAGTTAAATGGGAGAAAAGAGTGTAATTTGGTCAGTATTTCACACACTGCAACTTTAAATGGTACTTTGCAGGAGTAAGGAAATATAAAGTCTTTTTGTCTCAAAAAACCCCACAAACTTTACATCTCAGTTTGAAAAAGCTTTACGTGACTTACATATAGACGCACTAATACACATGCCGGCATATTTTATATTCATATATATTTGCAGCACTTGTTGCAAGTTCTCCCATTTAACCATTTTTAAATTATTTTGCTAGGTTCAAAATCTGGCTTTGACACCTAATAAATCACTGCCAGAACTTAGTACTTAAACCCATGATGCAAAATAGCATTGAGCCTATGCAGGTGTTTAGGTGGTTTTTGTTGTTGTTGTGGGATGGTTTGGGGGGGGTGAGGTGGGGGTAGGTTTTTATTTATTTATTTATTTATTTAAACTTTTAAAAACACACACATAGGATATTTGTGACTTATGCCCTGTTGCAAACACCAGATCTATTTAATTTAATTTGCCTCAAGTGGCAAATTGAGATAGAAACCAAGATCCGGAACATAACTAGCATCTGTTCAGTTATTAAACTGTCTGAAGAAAGCACAGCTTAAGTTTTCAGTATCCATACTCCACTGAAAGAATCAATCCAGAGGGCAAGAACCAAGTAAATACTGCCAATAAATGGAATGAAGCTTAATACCATACTTAAGTAATGAGTGTGCAAGAAGCCCCTTGAGGAGGAAGCACTGCAAGAAGAAAGCTTTGTTTCCAATCTGGAATCACATTTATTTATTTTGTCTTGTTTAATAATCTTAATTATTGTATGCAGTCCCTGATCAGTCTCGTGTGACAGGGCTCGCTGGCTTCCCTCGAGGTTCATTTTTAGCTGCATACCACCTACAGCAATTAGCTGCTTGTGCTTTTGTCTGTTTTCTGGCATTATGCCCTTCCCTTTCATGGGATTCCTCTTTTCTACTTGGACTAGATGTTTGCAAGTCTCCTGGCTTTGAGCTATTTCAGCAACAATTGTAGCTGAAATACTTAATATTCTCATGAGAAAGACAGCTGGGAGGAATGGGGGGGGTGTCAGCCTCCCAGAGAATGACTTGGAAACCCGATTTAGTGTCACATTTAACTCCCTATATGGAATACACAGGCAAAAAACCACCTTCTGAAAATAATACCCTGCACATAACCAGTTGGCACAGGCAGCCAAGTGAAAAGCCAGTGTGCACAACACAGGAAAACAAATTCCAAGATTTAAATCTAGCCTGAAATACCAATTATCAGCAATTTCCCTTTTTTAATCTCACAGCTTAATGAAAGGGAAATCTCTCCTTTCTAATAGTCTTTTTTTTTTTTCCTCATGAGTGGGATGGGAAGAGCACCACAGCCTTGTCAGTAGCAGCAGATACTTTACATGTGCACTTCATCACACATTAACTGGAGTGAAGCGACTGCTCCCAAAGGATGCTCGTTCACAGATACATCAACCCTTCTGGAAAAGGAGCACAAATCAAAACATTTAACATTACCTATTGCCTGTGCCCCCAAAACATGACGCATCGCCCATTCTGCTGAGCCTTGATCCAAGGTAGAATTTAACAATTCAGTCTAAATTTCATATATCAAATAATATCCATTATAAGCACAGAAGAGAAATAACAAACAGGAGGAAGGGGATGGCAAAAGTACTCGCAGAGTGTCACATAAGCCCTATCGACATTTCAAAAGGATGGTGGCCAAGCACCAAATGAGTTGTTTAAAACCAGATTCAGACACGTCCCATTCATTTTTTTTTTTTTTAATGTGAAATACAGGCCTACAGCTTTTCAGAAAGCTCACCATGGCTGACAGGGAGACTCCCAGACTGCTGAGCAAGAAAATTGTCTTCAAGAAGGACAGCTATATGGTGACAACAATGTATAAGTAGTATGGAAAAAAACCAACTTGCACATGTGCTTGCTCCAGCAAGAAGAGATGCTCCAAGCCTACAAGCACGTTGCAGCTCCATCCTCCCGAAGCTTGATGCAACAGAGGTCAAAGGCACAACAATTGATTTCTCATTTATTTAGAAATCAACGTGAACTGCAAAAGGTGTGCTGTAAACAAAGATGTAGAAGGAACAGACACCCACCTCAGACACCTAAAAAACCTGCTATAGCTCAGCACAGCCACACAAAAGGTCTTCAGGCAGGGCACACAATATCAGCTTACATTCACATGGATTTTCAAACCATACTGCCTTACCTATAAAGATATTCCACTCGGCGTCCAAGTCCCCTTGGTTGGCCAAGCAGCCTCTCATGACGTTAAAGCAGTAGTTGTAACAGGGCTTCACTGACACCAGACCTCGGCAGTGCGGGCAGTACATCATTTTCAGCAGCGCTCGCGTACCCTGTGGTGTGGGGTTCACCTTTAACAGAGAAAAAAGGAAATGGAGAAGAAAATTAGCCCTCAGCCACTGAAGAAAAAAAAAAACAACAAAACAATAACACCCTGTACATTTACCCCAGGGCAGGTGGGAACTGAGCTGTGCAGAGAAGACACAACGAGGTCAGCCACCGCTCTCCAGCGAGAGCTCCCTGCTTACGTGGTCCAAGGATCTGGGGACCAGATGAAGTGGTTTGTCTCACCTCCTTGGGTGTACCTACCACTCCAGGGGATGCCGACAGTTCCCGTCATTGTCTGCACTGTGACATACCTTGTGTATTGTGGGACCCCTCCCCAGGCTGCGAGGACAGGCACCCCGAGGTGATGCGCAGCACTTGAGCTCAGGGAAAGTAGTAAAAATCGACCAAGCCCCAACATGTAATGCAAGGCTGGACCATCCAAGCCCTGCTGCAAACACATGCTGAAGAAGACAACATCAGGATTTCTCAGGAAAAAGCAGCTGAGATGGGATGCCTGCCACTATCCCTGTGCCAAACCCGCCAGGAGCGTGCCCTCCTCCTCGCACTGCGGCTCCTCCCGTACAATTGCCCAGCAGGGCTCTCCAGCAGAGAGACCAGCTCCTTTATCTTACATTCAACTCCTGCAACACAGCATTTACATGACAGATACCCAGGTTCATTTATACTCAGCACCCATCACACTAAATAACGCTGTTCCCCACACCCAAAGGAAGTGGCAGCTACAGCCCTGCAGCTGAGGACAAGCCGGGAGGACCCTCGAAGCCAATGTGCAACGGCTGGGCGTGCAGTGGAGCTATCTGCAGCAGGCACGTCACCCCCCGAGCCCTCAATAGAGCTATTTTCCAAAGTGACTCATGGTCATTCATGTTTGATTCACTCTCTGGCCTGGCTTCAAAACATTCATTGAAACCATTTCCACCCAGCTGGTCTGAGGAGCATTAGGTCCAGCACCACGTACTAGTGCCGACCACGTGGTGGGTCTGTCTAAAGCACCGAACAGAGAAGCTCCCTCAAGAGCAAGTTTAAGTGTTAATTATCGACGCACAAAAATGGAGAATTCAGATGTGATCACAGATATGCTGACAAAATAGAAGCGGTCTCTGGTGTTTTAAACAATGAGCTTGAGACTTCTTGTAAGGCGTTTATGGAGAGTGCTCTAAATAGTTACGATCCAAGACCATGCTTGAGGAGGAGACACACATGCAGCCCCAAGGAAGAGAGAAGTCATTAGATATAAATGGCTGGAGATGTGGATGGCCTCCACATCTCACCTGTCAGAGGTCCAGAAACCAACTTCGTGGTAGAGAGGATGACAGGACTGAATGGAGATGAACATACACAAGGAAGACCTGGTACCACACATACTGAGGACCTTACTATTGCGAAGCCCTAGGGCTGTGGAGAAACTGAACATGTTGATCTGATGCAAAAACTAGCATATGAAACTAGGAGGCAACAGATTAACTAAAACACATTGGAAAACAAAAAAATTCACTATATAATCAGTCTGGCTTCACTAAGAACATCAGCAGATTTTTAAACCCTCTTTTCTTATGAAAAGAGACAACATAAAAATCCCTCATGTCTCTGACAACTCCAGAAACACCATGGTTTCTCTTCAGCAGGCAAGAAAACTGGTGAGAAAGACAGAAGGACAATTTTCTGCAGTTGATGGAGCGCCATGATGGATTTTGGTTGGCCAGCAATGTTCATTCAGACATATCTTTACCCCTCTTTTGTCTGAGAGAGCCTGTTTGGCTGAGCCAAAGGAAACTCAGTGTAGAAAGCTGTTTGTGGTGGTGTAGGAATCCAATTCAGATGCTTCAGAGCATATATATATATATATATATTTGGAAGGCGTAGCAGGAGCAGAAGCCCCAGGAGAAAGCTCCCTATTGGGGCAGGCCAGCTTTAAAGCAGAGCTAGTTCAAACACTGGGAAGAGCTCAAGCAACAGAAATCAGCTAAATCAGATGATTTATAGTAGGAAAACTGGAAACAGACAAATGTAAAGGTATCATCTGCCATCCAGATGGTGCAGTTCTTGCACAACAAAAAAGTTGTGGAGGGGAAGAGGGAACCAAACAACATCTCACACCCAGAGACAGAGCTCTACAGGACGCCCCAGTTTAGTAGTTTAGTCATTTCTCTGATAAAAATCCCTTCCCATGACACCTGGTGGTAGGTGTCAGGATCTTCACACCTAGTCCTGAGGCTTATCAGCAGATCCTGGCCATCCTAGCATTGCTGGCCCTCAAAGAAGTGTTCTGCATCCTCCTTGGGAAGAAAATTAGGAAAAGATTGATAGCACCAGGCAGGTGCTTGAGCAGTGTGAAGCGGGATGATGAGCAGGAGGCTTCTTCAACCCTACCACAGAAAGCTTCAGCTTTATGAAAGGAACTGCATGGCAGCATGTTGGAAAAAATCACCCACACAGCAGAAATCCAAGGAGGCACCTCACCATCCTAGGTTCCCAGTGCCCTACAAGCACCAAGTGGCTGCAGTCCTGCAGCATCCACAGTCCTGCAGCATCCACCCTGCTCTAATGTTTCATAGGGGTTGATCATTATCAATCCCAGCAGATGCAGGGGAAACCAAAGCCACTTTCACATGTTCCGTGGCAGATGACATGGGACAGTCACTTGGATCAGGTCCTTTGAACAAAGATGTGGGATGATTTTAAAAGCAAACAGGGTTTTGCTTCCTTCCCCACATTGTTTTTGGGCTCTGAGCCCTACGCAGAGCTGAGCAGAGCATGATGGCAAAGGGGGAGATGAAAAGACAAACCCCAGCCTGGGGTGACTGCTGCCCTAATTGGTGGTGGATGTTACCCACAGGGAAGCTCTTAGTTTGCAATAGAGTTGCAGGTGAAGAGGAAGACAAAGGGGAAATTCATCAGCCCAGATCTGGTATTTTACGGTGTCAGAAAGCAAGAGGAAGGCACAAGTGGAGATCACCTCTAACAGAGAGTTTCAGGGGAGATTATGAACAATTATAACTCATTACAGCAGCAATAAACACTTAACTGCTGCATATCACTGCAACGAGAACCTTAACCCCTAGCAAGGGGCCCATACCCAGTCCCGACCAGTTCTGGGTATGTCAGTGGGTTGTGCCATATGTTGCACTGGCAATTCTTCACAAGCTTTTAATGTTCGCTCTGCCACACCAGGTGCAAGCTCTTAAAACACCAATGTATGTAACAGTAAACCCAGATATGCTTTGTTCTGGGGTTGTGTTTATCTTGGAAAGCAACTCAAGTTCATTTAAACTCTGCTCCAGAATGACCCTCGAAACCAAATAATCTCCTTTCTAATAAAGCAGAGTCCCAAAGAAAGCTTTATTTGCTGAGGAGGATTTACTCTAGTAGATTTGAGCCCAGGTAGTAGTCCACTGTAGTGCACGTACCCTGTAAAAGCTTATAATAGAAGTAAATGCACTCCAACCCCTTCCTTTTATCTTGTGAAATTTATTTCCTTTCCATGGCGTTCCACACCGCTGCAGCAATCCATCACCCTGCAGTTTCATCATGTAAATTACAATTTGTCCATGTCTATACGCTTTGTCAAATGTGAAGATTAAAAGCTGCTAACAGATGTGTTTTGGTACCGATCTTCACATTCGTATCAAACTTGGTCCTTAAAAAAAAACAGATTTGAACACAATCCACAAAAACTCAGTGAAAAGCAAAAAGTTCTGGGCTTTCTGGGCTCAATTCAAGCATTTCATTTCATTGTTGAGGTAGCTCCCCAACTTCCATTTACTGGTGAACATACAATCATGTTCTTGCAAAAATGACATGCTCTTGGTAAAATAAAATCTGGTTTTTGTTGGTACCTTGTCATATCCACCCCATTTCAGAGTGTCACATAAGGGAAACTGGTTACCCTACGTCCTTAGCCTTTCCCAATTCATTGGCAATGGCACCTGGATGCATACGTCTAGTAGAAGCTTCACCATTAAAGCACACACCTACCAAGTGAAATGCCTTGTTAACAGCCTACCACAAAGCCACCAAAACTCAAGATAAACTGATCTGTGCAAGCAGATAAAGTTCAGAGAAGCAACTGCTTTCTTTTTCCCCCTCCTTTCCAAGGCAAGGAATAAATGAGGAAGGATGACAGAGCTCCAACCACGGAATTCCCACCAGCTGCCAGACAGCCAGAGCTACATTTTATTCTTTCACTCTACCCTGAAGTTAACATTAAGAATGTTAATAACAACATTTAAAATTCTGTCAGCTTTAATAACTATTTATAATAACACAGATAACTCAAGCTTTCTTATTTTCCAAGCTTGCACAACAACAACGTTGCCATGCCAGCAGCACAACCACCAGAAAACGTAAAAATCCAACAACTTGAAAATAAATGCGGTTAAATTACTTTTTATTTATACTATGTTTTCTTTGCAAAAAAGCTGAATTAGGGCAATACTGGATAAAGAAGACTGAAGGAGTAGCTTCTCTGTGACAAAGAAAGATGATTTCATTACTTCAAAAACTAACTCCAAAGCTGACTGTGGGATGCTTCAAGTAAGCAGCCAATTTAGACAAGTGAAGTATCATGGATTTTTGGGACCAACACAACCTTACTTGCATCATTTTTTCCTTCCCTGAGTGTTGTGCAAGAGCATCATCTTGGCACATGCCGGTCTAGACGTTCCGCTCACTGTGAGGCAGAAGATCACTCGGGAGGCTCTTGGTTTGCTTCCCCACCCCAAATATTCCAATGAAAGTGTTCTGGAATTAAGTACGCATTTAAACAAATTTGCTGGCCCGGTGCTAGCACATGCATAATTTAGAAAGCATCTGGTTCAACCACAAATTTGGGCCTCCAAGGTCTTGCACAAGCGAGCACATTTAGAAGCAAAACTTGGGAACCGCACAGCTCTGCGCCTCGTCAATATTTGCTACCCGTGGCGATGTCTGCTGCAGCTCCATCTTTTGTGAGAGGAGAAGTTCAAGAGTACATTTATGCTCAAATCCCTCCTTACAGCTTGCT